AAACATAAAACATAAAACATAAAACATAAAACATAAAACATAAAACATAAAACATAAAACACATAAAACACATAAAACACATAAAACATAAAACATAAAACATAAAACATAAAACATAAAACATAAAACATAAAATATAAAATAACAACATAACATAACAACATAACAACATAACAACATAACATAACATAAAATAACATAAAATAACATAAAATAACAACATAAAATAATATAAATAATATAAAATAATATAAAATAATAATATAAAATAATAATATAAAATAATAATATAAAATAATAATATAAAATAATAATATAAAATAATAATATAAAATAATAATATAAAATATAAACACATGCATAAATTTATGCCATTCTACAATGGATTTGTATTCTGTAACTTCAGGAAAGGAATTAGAAGTGCATTTTCAAAATGATTTAGTAATTCAAAGTTACTAACTTATTATTAATCACCATATAGTACTGTTTCCATAAAAGCCATCTGGTCCCAAACTTACTTTCCATACTTCCTGTTTGTGTTTCATAAGACATTCCAGTAACTGACAGTGATACACTGGGAAAGAAGAGACAAACAGAAGCAAATCTCATTAAATGACAAAATACTGTATTTATTGTTTAATTACTAACTTTCTGGCAAATCAAATAACTTGAGAGATTTCAAAAGTCAAACTGGATAATCACTATCTAATTAGAATAAAAGCTAGCAACCTCAATCCCCCCCCCCAAAAAAAAGATTTTAGTGCATCCATGATAATAAACAGAGAACAAATAAATCAGGCCATTTCCAAAATAACCAAGCCTTATTTTACCATAACAGACCTTGCTACAGAATGAATGCTTTGTTGCTAACCATTGTGTAATGACATTGCCTTCTTTTTTATCAGGAGGGACATAATCAGCTACTTAATACACAGAGATCAATTGATCCATTTTTCAACAGCATATCCACATAATAGTGGAAAATTTCATTAATTAAACATTAGGCCCAGTTATTTTTTTTTCTTTAAAAGCCCACCATAGATAATAACTGAATAGACACCCATATAAACCGCTTATTATCACTAATGTACCCATTCTTCTGTCTCTCTCTACCTGTAATCAATTTATTAAACAGAAGGAGGCAAAATTTATCCGTTTCCAAGCAAGCCTTAACATTACGAACTTTACCAAATGTGAAATATGAAGCAATCAACACCTTTTAATCTAAATTTAATATGAACTTCAGAGTTGTTAGCAATTATCACTACATAAATTGTGATCTTAAAAAACCTGCCCCATTTCCTGGTGTTAAAATAGAGCTTATGGTCCTGTTTCCAGATCTTTAAATGTACCTTTGCATCATTGTGAAATCAATTAGCACCACAATAGCTATTTCAGGTACTAGGCTTAGATATGTTAAAAGAGCCATTTTCAATTCCTTTTAAAAATAAGCAGGCAGGGATTAAAAGCACTCTCAAATAGTTCTGCTCTTCCAAGAAACAGCCATGGCAGCCAGTACATACCAGGATTGGTCGTATACTGCATTGCAATCATTAGCATTGAAGATGCAGAAAGATTAACATGAGCCGGTACCCCTTCTCTCCTTGAAGAGCCCACTTCAAAGAAAAGAAGAAAAAATATTAGTAGTTAGCAATATAAAGTGTCTCATTAATATCATAAGTGGCTCATTCAAATATGGAATTAATACCTCATCCGATACAGGTAGTGCTCAATTTACAACAGTTCATTTAGTAACCATTCAAACGGCAATGAAAAAAGTGACATTACAATTTTTCACAATTACAGAGTTTGTAGCATCCCCATGACCATGTGATCAAAATTCAGATGCTTGGCAACTGGTTCATACTTATGGCCATTGCATTGTCCCAAGGTCATGTGATCACGTTTTGCAACCTTTTGACAAGCAAAGTCAATGGGGAAGCCTGATTCACTTAACAACCGGGTTACTAACTTATCAACTGCAGTGATTCCCTTAACAACTGTGGCAAGAAAAGTTGCAAAATAGGGCAAAATTCTTTTAACTAATGTCTCGCTTAACAATAGAAATTTTGGGCTCAATTGTGATTGTAAGTCGAGGACTATCTGTAATATCTTTCTCTGTTGTTCCTCTATTATTCAAATGGTCTCCTTTATTTATGAATCTGATTTTTCCCATTTTATTGTGACATACAGAAGGCCTTTCAACATTGCTGAACAAGCATGGGTTAATTGGGGAATAAAGAAAAACAGGCAAGAATGAAAGCTTGGTCACTGCAGGTACTATATGTAGAAGTTACTATAACTATAATTAATTCTATTTAATCTAAGGCAGCTTATGTAGAACAAAAATTAGGAATTTGATCTGCTACACATTCTGATATATCTAAGCCACATAGTTGATTGTGACTTATTGTAGAAGTCAGATCATGGCCTATCAGTCATTTAACATCACCAAGCAACAAAAGTCTGGACATCGTTGAGAATGAGGTTCAGAAAAGGCATATCAATGGCAAATGTTGACATTGTTCTACCCAGCCAGGTATGAGAATAGTAACTTCTTGAATGAGCTATTATTTGGTAGGAGTTTGAGAATAATCTTGGACTGCCCTGCAGACTTGAAGAAGACTCTCTTGGGTCAATAGTATTGGCATTTTCTTATTTGTGCCTAACCACATCAAAGACATATCTTGACAGCCTTTTTTCTGTTGTGTCCTCATGATTTTACCTTCATCCCATGAGTGACAGCCCTACCGTAAGTTGTTCTTATTTATACCAACTGTCCTGTTTTAGTTTTAAGGGAAGACTGAAATTGTATCAAGTTTATTAGGTTTGTCAGCTTGGAGGGAAATCAGGTGATGGCAGCAACCTGAAATGGGCAGGCTAAAAACTGCAGTTAGGGACAATAGATTTCATGTTGGTATAGTTTTCTGTCAGTTCAAGAATGAATGGCTAGTGCTAATTCTTCTCTTTGTATCCATTGCATGGATTTCCTTGAAATCAAGCACAGGAGTGTGCCAGTTTGCTTCCAAGGATGGAACTAGGGGTGGACACTGTTGATCTATACATGTATACTTGATTTCACGAATGAGATTTGTGTTTAAAAAAATCACTATGCAGTAAGAATTTGCTGTCTCATAACTGGAAGAAAAGACTTCTGACCTCTTGGTGGTACCCACTCCAAATCTGTTTGTCTGTCTATCTGTATGTGCACACAGACACGCACATATGGGAACTGTTCAAACAACTATCCTTTTGCAATTATGTCTTCCTGAAATCAGGCATTTTTTCTGGATCCATGAATATTTTGGAAGAATAGGCTACTGGTTTCAGCTTATGCTCTACCAATTCTATAGTTGCTAGCATTGTAATATCCCACTTGTCATTGAAGAATGACAGCAGTGGAATTACAGTTCTTTCAAAAATTTGTTTTCACTTTCTTTGCATCTGGGCTCACTCCATCTTAATCAAGCAATGAAAATCACTTTTCTTGGTGAGTGAATATGGGTGTCAGTTTGTTGGTTTAATGATTGTTTCAATTGCCCCAATAGAAGCATCTCTTCTAATTCTGCTTTTACTTTGGGGAATAGTAGAATTGTTTCATGGATTGCAAAGAAAATAGCTCTTCCCTTAAACATAGTCTTTGCTAGAGGAATGTTCAAGATTCTTATTTCTTTTCATGTCTCTCTGGAGAGTTCTTCCACATAGTGCACTCGGTTTACTATGGTAGATGCCTCCAGGCACAGAAGCATACATACAAATAATCCTCAACTTACAATCACAATTGAATCCAAAGTTTCTGTTGCTAAGGGAGACATTTGTTAAGTGAGTTTTGCCCCATTTTACAACTTTTTGTGCCACAGTTGTTAAGTGAATCATTGCAGTTAGTAACATTGTTAAGTGAATCTAGCATTTCCATTGATTTTCCTTGTTAGAAGGTCCCAAAAAGTGATTATACAATCCCAAGACACTCCAAGACCATCAAAATATGAACTACTTCCAAGCATCAGGATGACCATGGGGATGCGGCAATGGTCATAAGTATGAAAAATGGACATAAGTGACTTTTTTAAACGCTATTGTAACTTTGAACGGTCACTTAATTAACTGTTGTAAATCAAGGACTACCTGTACTTTAAATTCATTTTACCTGTCTCTCCTATAGCCGCCCTGAGTCTTCCGAGAGTGGGCGGCATACAAGCTAAATAAATTCAATTCAATTCAATTCTACGTTCAATAAAGATACAATATTTTAAAATTATGCTTGATTTCTGATAACTTGGATGTCCACATACATTTAAAAAAAAATAGTGTGTAGTGTTTTTTTAAGAATATTTTCTTTCAACATGATTTCCTCAACTATCCAATAGATCTGGTACTTTGTTGTTATCTCATATTCAAGTGCCCAGCAAAGTCCATTTTGCTCACCTCAAGATCAGCCACAATTGTGTCTGGCTATAAAATATGTCACACAATTTAAATCTTGTTGACAAAACCTGCAAGAAGTTTGGGTCTTATTTTGCATATTTTGTCAGAGCATATTGTTACTCCCAAAATGAAATGCTTATAGAGATCTCTTTTTTTTCAACTTGACAAACATGACAGAAGCTGTAGTGAATTTAAAAAATATATAGTAGTATTCAGTAGACTTTGCAAGCTACTTTGCTCTGTGCTCCTTCCCCACAGAACATTAATCTCTAGCCCTTCAGCTACCTTGGTAAAGTTGTCTGGCTGGTTTTTGCTATTTCTCCCCTCTTTATATGTTCATTCCTTTCATTGATTAATTTTGGAACCACTCATCTCCTTCCCAGGATAAGACCATGGTGCTAAAAGTACTTCTTTGATAAAGGAACACAGTTCTACCTACTACACATATATCCTGTAGTTCAAACTGGAACTCTAAAATGCTTGAAATACTTTAAAATCTGGAGATTTTTCTTGCTTAACTAGGAGAAAGGTACACACATGACTCTTCGATTAAACCAATGAAGAATCCATACTATAAAAATATAGGAAAACTAATTGGAGAAAAGTACTCACAAATGTTCCAGTTAATTCTTTAAAATGTCAAAGACCCATTTCAGCTTTTACATATCACAATCTACACATATATCATATCACAGGAAAGCTGATTTCTGAAAATATTTTCAGCTTTTTAAAATGTACATTCTAACAATGGTGTGCTACTTCTGCACCTGAACTGGACAATGCTATGTCCACCAATAGATGGAAGTAGCCAAAAATAAATGGCAGCAATTAAACAAATATTCATTTTTGAATCGATTCTGTACTTTATAAAAAATAGAGACAGTTAAAAAATACATGTTTAAGCCACAGTGACTGAGGTTGCTACAAAGATGAAAAAGGCAACTTCAAACCTGAGATTTTTCTTTCTCTAAACCAGAGTGGAACTGAACAGACTTTAGTAAGAATTTCCATCCTCAAACATTTAGCAGTGGTTCCCAATCTTTTCTATACCCCACATCCCTAGGAAATATTTGATTAATGTTTGAACTCCCTATAAAAGAAATTGTGACTTGCGATTCATCACTAAAGACACAAGATATTCTTTGTCTGAAATTCCATCTCGCAAAGGATGCAAACTATCTTTGTTGTACCCCCAGAAATTCCATCCTGCACCTAGTGGGGGGAGCAAGCACCCTGGTTGGGAACCCCTGTTTTAAACAGAAGATCCTTCTCAGGAAAATAGGATATCTGCCCATCACACTAGCAATACAAATTCTATGCCTTTCTCTTTCTCAACTTCATTCTTAATATTCCCACCCAATTTTAAAATCTGCTTATTCAGATAGATAGATAGATAGATAGATAGATAGATAGATAGATAGATAGATAGATAGATAGATAGATAGATAGATAGATAGATAGATATGTCTTTGTATGTAGTGTAGTGTAGTGTAGTG